AGTTACATTAAACAAGTTTGCTTTTAAGGCAGCTCACTGGTCACATGCCAAACTGCTGTCTCCACGCCCCATCTTTTTCCAAGGCCAGACAGTCAAGAACTCAGCAAATGGTTTTCAATAATTAATTCTTTAACCCTAATTTTAGGATAAATACTAAAAGCAAGCTCTGCATACAAAACAGGTTCATAAGCTATTAAAACTGGGACAGTCAGCCAGCACAACACAGCAGCATGCATTCACAGCATTCCACGTAACCTGGCCCACCACACCTGCTGCTGGAGAAAGTTCTCCTTCAAAGGGTAATTCAAATGTGCTTCTCTTTCCGTTAATTACATACAGAGAGCCTACTTTTAATCTCAGTCTGGGTTTTTTGCACAGCCTCCACAGAGTTGTGCAGCATGTGGCGGCATTATGCTGCCTACATTCACATCTTGCAGATGCACTGGTTGCATGTTTTTCTGTAGAAGCACATCACAACCCACACTGTGTTTTGTGTTAGGCTGAGACCATGCTGCTGACAAAAACGAAACCAAAAACCAAAAAAAAAAAAAAAAAAGGAAAAAAGAAAAAGAAAGAAAGAAAAAGAGAGTGTCACAGACTTTGCAAATGTGCACTACTAGTGTAAAGATCCTTGGCTTTCTTTAAAGCCTGCCAGAAGCAACTGTTTGGCTTTGTTTTTCAACAAAATGCTGAATGAGGGAGGAAGTTCAGATTTGACCGCTGAAGATCGCGATGTACAGTTGTGCACCCACAGCATAGGAATGAGTCTTGCATTGAAATGAATGCAGTCAAAGTTCTCCTTGTGTTTCATTTCTCTAATTATTTTCCTAGTTGTTCATTCTCTGAGGTAAATACTCCTTAATGTATGCTTAGTGCAGTGATCTCACGTGAGCTGCTCCCACTTGTGCTAATACCCCCTCTTCCCCCCCCCCCCCCCCTCCAGCTAAGACCTTGTTAAGGAAATTAAACAAAGCAAGTATGCTGGCTGGTATCATGATAACAAGGATTTTGAAGGCAGGGGGGAAAAAAAGAATCTGTGAAAAACTGATTGCATGGTCAGAGTTCAGAGAAAGGAAAAAATTTGGAGTCTGAAGCTCAGGAGATGAAGCAATTCTTAGAGAGCTGGAGGAAGATTTGTGATGTACAGGACTGGTGGCTGCAGTCCCTTGGTGTGCTCAGTGCAGCGCAAAGAAACTGAGGGGAGCCCTCATGGTGGCTGCAGCTCCTCACAGGGAGGGGTGATCCTTGTGGGTCCCTTCCAACTTGGGCTATTCCGTATGCAGCTACCTTAGCTCCTTCGCTGCAGCCTGACACCTGGTTATCATTGCACTGGGTGAGACCAGGCCTTCAGCATGGGCAACCAAATCCCATGGAGGACAGGAGAGGAGGGACAAGGCCACAGTGGAAGCGAAATGGTGAAATGTAAAAACAGAAGCAGAAACAAAATGAAAACAAGATCAACAACAACAAAAAAGACAACACCCAGTGTTTACTTTCTCTGCACAATCAGATGCAATAGATGATGGGAGGCATGAGGAAGCAGATATGTCAGGGTGAGCTGGTGGAGGCTACAAGTAGAGAGGCCAGGGTAGCGCAGCAGAAAGGTGAAAACAAGCCCTGGTTGTGCTCATTCATGTTCCAATTCAGATTTCCCTTGGGAAAGGGAAGAAGTAAGACCATGTCCAAAGATGATCTCCAAGACTTTCCCCATTCGTCCCTAGCCCCCTTGGCCTGTGGCAGGCCTGTTCCAGGAGCATCTCCAAGATAACTACAGCCATCTTCTCAGCAGCCTGGTCCTGAGCTTTTGTTTTTCAGATGCAAAGAACACTGCAGGCGCAAAGGGCACAAACTTCCTTGACTCTTGGGCAAGCTGATGGATGTGGGTGCTTTGGGAATAAATGCAAGCCTAGTAGGAGCCAACATTTTTCATCTCATATCCCACAACATGATAGTTTGTTGCCACTATGCAAGAGGTTGGTAGATATGCATTTATTAGTCCAGCATCATCTCTAGTTATTGGAAATACAGATGTTTTTGCAACAGTTTTACTACATTTTTCTTAAAGAAAAAGAAAACCAAAAAAGAAAGGCCTGTACCATCCAGGATATACACAAGCCTGCCAAACAAATGGGATTCCTTTTGCTTAGAATTACAAATCCCTCCAGAGAGGGAAGCCTAGCAAATCAGCTGAAAAAAAAAAAACAGAGAGAGAGACTGAAAGTGATCAGCAGATTCTGCTTATTCTTCTTCAGGGCAGTAGGTATACACTTCACTAACTTGCAGAAATCACTGTCATAGTATATCCAAATATCCCAGAATGATGATCACTAAAACTTCCTTCCACCCAGCACAGGAGAAAAGGCTCCAAAGGGTGATTTAAGACCAAGAAACCAATTTTAGGTTGCTCTGAACTAGCCTGTAGAAGCCAAGAACTCTGTCCTTTAGAAAAGCTGCATCATGAGAGGATCTTGTGAGAGTGAGTGACAATTATCCCATATCACAGTGCACCTTAAGCCAATCACTATGAGAGCTTGCCTTTCTTCTTTGTTGGGTAGTGGATGAAGGGATGTTGAAATCTACGCTACTGACCACACTGAATTTCAGAATGTGAGTTGTAAGCCAAGAAATTCATTATTTCCTTCCATCCTACTCCACCAACATAAAGTGAGAGATAACAATGCATCACAGACTCTGAGTAAATATGCCTCATGTCTTTAGATCATATCTATCTAATACGTTACTTGGGAAGCTCAGGGGAAGAAAGATTCCACCAGGGAAACACTTGTTAAAAAAGATTAGAAGTCTTCATTTTTGCAGCTCTTGAGATCTTTAAACAACCTGGCTTAAGATTTTTAGCACCATAGAACATCAAAAAAAGTTAGTCCTTTGAGCTGCAGACATTCTGTGTCATCCACAGAGGAGAAACAGAAATTGATGGTGACAGGCAGGGATTCAGCATTTCCCTTTGAGAATGCTAAAGGACTTATATTCAGTTCTAGATCCTGATTTAGAAAAGCTTTTACATCTAATGTTAACACCAATTATCTGAAGGTCTGCTTTATTTGTAAAGCTTACTATAATTTGTATTGCAGGCCAGTGGACAGAGAGCTTTAGGTCTATCCAGCAGATTCTGAGTGCCACACTGCTAAAATGCCAAAAGAGAGATTTTGGTGGGATTGTTGCTCATGCAAAAGGAAGTATGAGGTCATACAATCCAAGGTCAATGCTGTATGGTTTGTGACTACAAAACTGCTTTCTTCTGCTAGACTGAAAGATAATTAAGTGTTTACTATTTGGAGAGGATCTTTTTCCAGTTTAAGTAAATTTTGTAGCTGGATTTCCTGGTGTGCACACTATTGACATCTTTCTCAATTATGAAACAAGTGAAAATCTGCCTTTCCAGTGATGTGAAGAACTTCGTAACAGTGTCATCATAAAAATCATTCTCCCTCATATGAATGACTTGAGATGTTGCCATTGTGCAGCTCTTGTGGAAATGGACTTCACAGATTGAAAGAAGTGAAAGCTGCAACAGCTTGTACAAAAGTACAAATCTGCAAAGTGATAATCAGTGTCACTAAGCTTTTTCCTTGTGCATCCTATTTGATGATGTTGGTCCATGATGTCAGAGCAGATGTGGGTGGTATGGCAGTATAGGTTGAACCTTCTCACCAATATCCCATGTGACAGATGGCAGTGCAGGGGCAGTCTGAGAGAATGCCGTCTGACACGGAAGTGCAGATGAAGCAAAGGTTTGGAATTTAATTCCTCCATGTGGAAAAATGGCACCCATTGACATTCATCAATGCTTGGTGAACACTTATGGAGACCAAACAGTGAGTGTGAGCACAGTGGGGTGGTGGGAGGTGTGTTTCAGCAGTGGCAACAGTGACACTGGGTCACCCCCGCTGGAGCAGATTTTTATGAGCACAGCATGCAGGCTTTTATTCATTGCTGGCAAAAATGCATAGCTAACAGGGATGAGTAACCCCTATTAAAAAAAAAACAAAACAAAACACTGAAAAACAGTGTTTTGTAACTGAGAATTTGCTTTATCAAATAGTATTATTGTACTCTTTGTATCTGTTTCCATGGAAATAAATAGGAGGCATTGCTTTTGGAGCAACTTATATTATTCAGGTCTTCTATGAACAGGTAGGAAGTTTGCTTAAGCTTGTTTTCTTGAGCTTTTTGAAGGTTCTTCAGCACCATCTGACTCTCAGTTTTATTCCTGACCTTTCAAGCACACAATTCCATGTTTATATATTATACAAAAATTAATCCATCATCAGAAAGGCAAGAAGGCAAGTGAGATTGAGGCCAGCCCTATTTCTGTGGAGTGGAGACATTTGTGTGCTCTGCTTATTTTAGCAGAAGATAGTGGGTAAATCTGAGCCAGCATGTTTTTCATTCAATCTGTCCCTGGACACTAACAGATGGTGCTTTCCTGTGCCAAGTACTAATGCACTTTACATTGGCATTCAGTGTCAGGACACAAAGCCCGCCAAGTCCCTGCCAAATCTGCTGATGCCAGGGAAATTGATAATAAACAACTAGCCAGGGACACAGTCCCAATTTTTTCCCTACATCCTAAGCAGCACACAAGCTGTACCAGTGTAACGATGTCAGCTGTTCTTCAGCTTGTGGATGTCAGTGCAGCAAATGAGGATCCTGGACTAGGGAAGAAAGGAGTCCTGCGGTTATGAATAGGCATGTATCTGAAGACAGCAAGAGATCCATTTGCTTCAAAGGGACTAGCTATGCGATTGACAGTGGGCCCTAAGAATCCTGATGAACTTGTGCTATGATGCACACACATCTGAGCTACTAAAGTACACATACATACATCTACCATCCAGTAGTGTGGTTCTACTGCTTAGCACCTTAGACTGAGCACTGAAAATACTAAAGTCAGTCCTTCATGTCTAATTTCAATCCTACATACAATAAGGCAACTTTCAAAATAAAATAAAATAAAATCCATAGATTTCTCTGAGGAGTTCACTTTGTTTCACAGTTGTTGCATTTATTCTTTGAATACAAGCATCCAAAATTCTTTAGCTGTAAAATTCCTGTTCCTTTCCACCAGCTTTCTCAGTGCCCAGGCTTCCTTCTTGGACTGCTCAAAACTTGCTATCCACATCTCTTGGAGGGAGGTCTGGCTGGGATTTGAAGAGGAGAACCTGAAAGCCTCAGGTTTGGGGCAGTTCAGATGTTTAACGTGAGCACTCCATCTCTGGGGCAGCCATCCCTGGCAACACAGAGAAATAAAAGGAATGGGTTATTCAAGGACCCTGGCAGACAGAGAAGACTAACTACCATTAGTAAATTATTAAAGCATGTCAGTGACATTCACCCTTCCACCACAGGCCCTAGCCATGCCCCTGCAGATGGCTGAGTGGAAACTCTCCCTGAGGTGCCCAGAATAAGGGCAATTAGGCTGACAAGAGCCAGACTCTCAGATCAAATCTGGTTACAAACAAGCAGCATCAGCTAAGCGAACTTGAAAGACAAGGAGCTCTACTTTCGTCATTATAATCAATTTTCATCTTAAATACGCACACATTTCATAAGATTTTTTTTGAAAGAGAATTAAAAACAAGCTATAAATTTGATCAAGAGAGCAGACTGGTCTTCATAGTCTGCTTCACTGAAGAGCCACCAAAGTAGGGGAAAGAAATCTCTGCATTTCATCCATTTTATATCTTTCCATATTCGTATTTCATGCTTAAAGAGTGGACATCTGCATAAATTTACACTAGATTAGCTAGGAAAGTCTTGTTAAATGTAATGCTTGCTCGTTCGCACTTCCCATTTCAGTTCACCCAAATAATTTCACATGCCTTCTTCATCCCTCCTCTTCTAGCTGATTAGTTACCATACAGCTCAGATTGTCATCACCACATATTTGGCCTCATGAGTATAGGAGAGCTGTAGGGCACTACAGATGTTCACTGGCTGCATTACTGGGCACTGAAAGTTTTTTTCATCTATTCTGATAACTGTGCTCATTAACACCTTTAAAAAATGATGAGAACATACCTTTTCTTCTCTTCTGATGTTTTCCCACACTCTGTTACACACCATGCACTCAAATGTGTCAATGTAATTGTCCTGAGTGATATCTTGCACTCCCCATTTGCGTTCCTTCATTGCTGTAAGCAGCCTTGGATTGGAAATTTCTCCTTTCAGTTTCCATTCCAGGTAGGCCTCATACTCCTGGTCATTTTGATCCAGTGTTCTGATATAGTGGGCCAGCTCTCGAGGGTGTGAAAAACTAGATACCAATATTGCACTCTTGTTGCTGGGAAGCCAGTCTATAATGCTGGGAGAACCAAAGTACACAGGTACCACTCCCAACATCAGAGGCCGCCAGAGTTTTTCAGTGATATAATCTTCACAGATAGCATTTTCAAAAGCAAGAATGAACTTGTACTGAGCCAGTATTTTATAGAAGTTCCCATCATCCATGGCAGACGGATTTCTGAGATACTGAGGGAGGTCTCTGTTATGCAGACATTCTCCATAAGAGTCTACTTCAATGTGGCACATCAACTCACGTACATAGCTGTCCCGGTCAGAAGGAGCATTGCAGTCAGTCTGCACATACACAAGTGGTGCAAGCCGCTTCCTCAGGCTGTTCTTCATATGCACTGGGATCATATGTCTCAGGGACGTGAGGACCTCTATGCTCTCAAGGTACTGAGTGGTCAGCGGTAGGTGAGAATGACGGCTGAAAGTTGCAGTGTGGTTAAATAAGGTGACAGCTGGTTCATGGAAAAGTTTGTAGTTGTTTTTTGGTGACTCCTCGTGGAAAAGGGCCCAATCATGATGGCCTTTTCGAGGAAGGGGTAGGCTGTCTATACTGAAATCAGTACCTAGACAAAAGCAAATGGTGTTTAGTCTGGCCTTTATCATGTCACACTGAAGGACAGTACATAGAAACCCAGTTTTCATTTAATATCAGCCCTACAACACTGTGTTTATGAGATTATAAGGCAGCACCACCAAAAGAGTGTTTAATTCAATGACAGAGGAGTGTTATGACAGAGAGAAGTAAATTTGGCAGCAGCAGAATCTAGAGACTAGGGATTGGTAGTTAACATTAGAAGTGATTTATTTTCAGATCATATTAGTTTAAAAGCCTCTCATTTCAAATCCACGCTAAATTTCATATTTTACTGCACAGAAGGGAGACTAATAATATGCTTAATAATTTTCTGTCTATGTAAATAGGAGAAGCCTCTATATCTAAGATGAAAGGAAAATGGCCACTACAGGGATGAATTTGGTTCTAGTACCAAAATAACAAAAAAGATGCTAAAACATTGGACACAGTTATGCACAAGGATTGGACAAATAACCTGACATGCTGGAAAGATATTGTATTATACATTTTGGAAGACAATCGACTTGGTTTATCAAAGAGAGAACCAACAGATGATATTTCACAGCTGACTACCAGATACATGAGGGAATAACCTCTGGCAGAAGACTAAATCTGATGTCAGAATTAGAGGAAGAATCAAGCCTAAACTCAAAAAGCAGACCACTACAGCTGCTTGCACCTTAATGGAAGGACAGTGAACCTCCCAGACAACTCAGGGTGAAAGCTTCAAGTCAAACCTAGAAGCATTTTCTCATGAAAATGTTTTCTCATGAAAATTTTTTCTCATGAAAAACATTTTCTCAGACCAGCCTTCACTGGTCTGTGCAAAACTGAATTCAAAATATCAAATCATGAATCTCAACCTTTCTCTCCCTTCAGTTGCGTTTCCATACAGCTAGCCTTATTTTAAGTTAAGTGCAAAGCTGATGAATCTCTGCCAAGACAGTTCCTCAGAATCTTAACATTATATCTGGTTTTGACTGAAGTACCAGCACTGGACATCCAAAAGTTTTAATCTGTACTGCCAAGCAAGGCAGTGTAAACCAAAACAAAGATAACCGCTGATTTTGTGGACAAAACAAATCCCCTTTCTTCATAGATGACACTCTACTATCCCTAACACACTCTTGAGTTTTTCTTCTCTGCTGTACACTTGATCTCAAACTACTGATGATAATAAATAAATAAATAAAGGAGCTAAAAAAATCTAACCTAAACTTTTCATCTAAAAGCTAATACATAAAGAAGGAAAAAAATGTCCAAGGATCTCTATGACTGTGCAAACCTGCTAAGATGACTCCAGGAGTGACCTTATAAAATCAACAGAAGACGACACTAAAGTAGTGACGATGGATAATGGGTGCCAAGATAAAAACCTCCTATAGTGCAAGACTTTTCAAAGAGCATCAGTTTTTTCTTTGTTTTGGAGTTGGTTTTTTTAAGGCCACCAATTATGTGACTTTGTTTTCCATTGAAGGCTGGTCTCAAGCTCCAGACACTAAATAGGTGAAGTGCTATGCCACATATCAAAGAAAGAGATATTCATTTCCTTTGGTTTTTTTTATATGTGGTAATGATGAAATAAGGAAGAAAAATTAGAATTAATCAAATTCTTGCAGAATTATTCATACAACCTATCTGGTCTTGGAAACACATTGTTCTGTGAAGCCCAGAAGAGAAGCAACAGTGCATAATGAAATGTACAGTTATTTCTCTTGCAAAGGTGAGGGAGAACAAAAATTCACTGCAAAGGGGAAGGAAGAAAAGAATGACACCAGAAAAGGGATGACACTGATAAAAGCATATTGTGTAAAAAACTTTGTAAACAAAAATAAAATTTGCCAAACAGAAACCAAAAGAAAAATGCTTAGTAAATAAAATCACACCAAAATTACTGATTCTAGTATAACATTTAGCCAATCTCACTTCAGAAAGCAGACAAAAAGTTTTTGAGCATTAAAGAGAAGATAACATCATTATGTTACCCACCTTGTGAAATAAAGGAAATGAACGAGCCTATGAGAGGATAAAGAAAGCACAGCAAGATTGTAATGACAACCAATTTCAACTTCTAAACTAATAGGAAATCTTAGATTTAGTGATAAAGTGCAGGAAAAAAAATGAAAGATACTCTCAGGAGGAGTTCTACATCTTTGGAGACATATTTCACTCACAATTCACATCCCAAAGACCCAACTCTCCAGCACAGAAAAGCTGGACATGTCCTTCTACTGCTGATGCAATTTTTCTCAGGAGGAACAGCACTGGTACAAGCAAAACTCTGTGAGCATGCTATGTTGAAAAAGTAGGGTTTGGAATCCCTCTCCAGAATACAGACATAACCCAGCAAGTGATTGTCACATCTCAGATTCCAGAAGAGAGACTTGACAAAGTCATTCTCCACACCCACAGGTTTCCCAGGCCAGGACAGTAAGTAGAGATAAGCTGCAGAAAAGCAGCTGTTACTAGCAGTGCAGTTCTGGTGAGAAACATCTGCACCCCATTTGGCATAATATTCTTTTCATTCTGTCAAACATTCATTTTTTGACAAGTTCACTGACCAAATGTTAGGAGGGAATGAATGAACTTCTTTGGAATGTAAAGCTGTGCCCTAATGTAATCTTAGCATGGGTATGCAGATGTTCAAGGTTTCTTTCACTCAGTAGGCTGTTCAGTTAGAAATTCTGGAATGTCAAAATCTCTCTTTTTTGCAGGCCCACAGCTAACTGCATCTAAGGAATGAGGGGTGGTATGCTTTTCTGCATTGACACAGCATTATTTAACACTTTTGACCCCTTGTCTTTGCAGATTTTGGCACATTGAGAGTGTTTACTGTAGTCTAAAATCGAGTATCACTTCTGCATATGTTGACACTTTCATATGCAGTTCAAAGAGAGCATCACTAGAAAAACTACAAGAAAGGTCTTTAGTCCAGTAAAAATAATCTTTTAAAAATCAGCAAGTAAATCGTGTCCTGTTACAATAAATCATCACCAGCTATAAGTAAACAGTAATTGTTATTTTAATGCTGAAGCAGGCAAACAAAATCGCTGGCAGAGACCAGAAATACCAGACTTCACAACTTCCATGTGATGCAGACCTAGCTTTCCGTGTATTTAATTGGGTCAGCTTCTCATTCCCTTGCTGTTATTCATTTGCTTTCATGCCTGACCACTATATTATCAGCAGACAATGCTGACCTACTTCAAGCTCTGAAAAGATCACTGATGAGAAGTTTCTGGGTTTACTGTTAACTGTTCCACAAAAGGCCCCCCTTTCCCTCTATTTCCAGCTTGCCTGTGTCCTGAACTAGTGAATGAAGATTCAGCACTCTTTTGTTTTGTTTTGTTTCCAGACAAAAGAGCTGAATCTACCAATCACAGAAAATTATTTGTCATTAGTTTTCCACTTACAATAATAGCCCTATTATAATATAATAAAAGGTTATTATATGTCTCTGCAATGCCATGAGGAAAAATAACAAAATAAAGACTACTTTTAAAAGATGCCTCTTCTGTGTTTTGTTGTTTCGGTGCAAGTAGTGGGAAGTTTCTGAGGCAGCAGAGCCAGAAGAGCTCAGCAGGCTGCCCTAGCTGCCATTCCCTGTGTGGAATCAATACCTTTCTTTCAGTACTTTCCTTTTACAGTCTGCTGGCAATCTCTTGGCACATGAGGCAAGGCAGTTGCACAGTTACCAGCGAGAGCATTATCTTAAGACAGAAGACTTGCACAAGTGCAACAAAGGCCTTGCAGAACTTCTGCTGGAGGTGATAAGCTAGAAGACCGGGAAAAAACAGCCTGATCTCAGACTCCTTTCAGGACTTGGCAACTACAGGAAATGATCTTTTCTGCCATAAGCAAGGAACACGTGTGACTGGAAAGTAGCACGAGACAAGGGAACATCTCTTGGTCATCCTGTGGATCATCAATTTTATAAGTACTTTTGCAAAGGTCTCTGATAATGGATTCAGCACCAGGCAAAATTCAACAAAGTGAGCTGTGTAAACTTTCTTCTCCTCAATGATTTCCACCTAGAATATTTAATGTCTAAGAGAAAATGACAGGAGGGAAAGTTTCTCCCTTAGAAGGAAACAGCTCCTTACCATAGAACAAAAAAGCTCTCGTCAGCTGACTGTGCTGGTAAGTCTTGTTAACAGTAAAGAAACAAACATCCTCACCACACTGCCCCAGTCTCCCTGTCTCTCCAGTCAGAGGAGACCACCAGAGCAGGATGGGGTAGTGATCTGTATCAGGCTCCATCCTGAAGTTGCTGTAAAGTTCCTTCTTCTTAAGCTGGGAAGCATGTCTCTCATCAGGCTTCAGGGGGCCACTGTGTAAGACTGCTGCTGCCTTACTCTCTGAATTGCCCAGTTCAGTGATAACCTTCAGGGGAAAAAAACAAACATATCACAGTGCATCACTGCTGTTAGCCAGAACATTCACCTGACACATCGAGTTTAAGTATCAAGTAGTGAGTAAGCCTCTGTAAAATTTCTATCAGCTGAAGAAGTGAATGCACTTCACTGAAGCACTGTCCAGGTGATTTACTTCAGAACAGAGAGAGCTTCAATTTGAATAGGTAAGGAAGGGGAAGTAAATAAATTTCTGTACTGAGATATGGCCATGTCACACATGATTGAACAACATGAATTCTGCTTTTTTTCTCAAAATAAGCCATACAGTAGCTAAGTTTCTTCTAGAAATCATCTGTAAAATTAGGTCTTCATGTGCCCATGCTTCTTTATTTTTAAACCAGTGACTGAATATATCAGATGCAGATGAGTCTTAAAGAAAACTTAACTACAGTTTCATGGCCAGGAAGAAGAAAAAAAATCTGTATGCAGAGATGTAAAAGACTTTCCGGTAAACCATCATTTATAGATCAAAAAACCTATGAGGAGCTTTAAAAACAGTCCACTCACAGGAGAAGCCTCCAACAGTGTCTGCCATCAGCCATGGGAGAGAAGTATCAGGCTTCAGCAGTTCTGGTATTTGTGAAAACACCACTCTTTTCTGCAGGTAGTACCCACGGAACAAGTGTCCTGAGGTGATCCCACAGGGTACACAGAAGCTGCTGTTAGTCTCTGCAAGGCAGTGACCTTCCTGCTACCATATGGATGGCTTTTTGCATGTGCATCTTCACGGGCAGTGCTTAATGCCACCCCAGGAACAGCTGCAAGAATGATGGAACTCAGACCCACCAGACAGCTTTGGCTCACAGCACTTCCACTTTTTGGATGGCTCTGAAGGAGGATATTGGGAGGAAGGAGAGTATTGTTTATATTAAGTTGTTTGAAAACATTTATCTTCCCCGATAGTGTTACTGCATGCATTCATTTTACTGTTTGCTGTCATTTACTGTCTAGTAAAATACACTGATTGTAACTGGACTAAATAGACTCTATGCAACACAGGATGCTGAGACAACACACACAGTCAACTGTGCACAGTGCAGCTGCACAGAGAACACAGAAAACACTCCCACATTGGCAAGTAGACAGGATGCTGGCTGGGGATAAGGCTTATTTGTCTAGGAATTTGGTAAGATGTAAGTGCAGTAATACAACTCAAATAATCCTGTAAGTACGTACACATCACTGCTTCAGGTGCACTTCCATGCTAGACGCCATTGTGTCAGAATGCCCCTCTGCTGCCATCTGTTGCACGGCAGCAAAATGTAATGGGATATTGGTGGGAACGTTCAGTCCCTGCTGCTGTACCACCAACATCTGCCACTGACATCATGGGACAACATCATAAAATAGGAGGCATTTGCAAGAGCAGCCCTTGCAATATGCCTCCTCATTCATTTTTTTATTAACCATCTACTGAATTCCCAGTGTTAAGAATGGCCAGTGCTAAGTCAGGCCTGCTGGCCTGCTTACTGACTGCTCAGATCACTGGTTACAGAGCTCACAAAATCCTGGTCAGCCTGCCATAACAGCCTGAGATAGGTCCAGCTATATCCCTCTGTCTCACCAATTAACACACTGCTTGAGAAGACTGAGAAGGCAGTGCTGGACAGAGGCAATGCACCATGGTGATGCGTGGTACAACACTTCTGAGGAACTCCAAGAGCCAAAGAGTTCCAAAGAGTTCCCTATGTAATGTCAATTCTAGGGCCAGCTGGCATCACCAGGTCAATCCTGCTGATAGAGTGTCTTCAAACATTCCTCTCTCACAACACTTTTGTTGCTTTTAATGATCCCTCGCATCTTCCAGAACTGTGTCACATTTTGAATATGCCCACATATATACTCCCCCCTGCCCTTGCCCCTATACCTGGAGCATCACCACAAGGAAAAAGAAAGCTGCAAAACAGATGCAAGATGCCCACAGCCTCTTCCTCCTCATCCTGACCATGTTGCACTGTCGGGCCCACAGGATGCCAAGGGCAGTCAGAGTGAGGTGTTAGCAGGACCAGTGTGTCTGAAGCCTTCAGCCTTTGCTGCACTGATGTCCCATGCCATCTTTATTCTGCTTCACAGGAGCTACTGGTGAAAAAGAGTACAGCATCAATCATGAATGCTCCTCGAGTTTGGTGACCAACCTGCTGTCTACCTGCAGCTTTCTGCAGGAATCCAAACACTGTTCTGAGCCTGGTTAACCCTTAGTTAAATCAGAAAACAGTCTGCACAAACAGCACTCACACACTGCACTCTGCCTCTGCTCAGACTGGACTTGGCCTCCTCTCAGAGCAGCCTCACATGTTCCCTCACCATGCAGGCAGCACAGAGAGCCACTGTTGGTTCTACCCTCTGTGAACATGCTTTACTGAGCTTCAGGTGGCAAACTGTGCTGTTTTTCAACAGGCGAGCCACATAAGATCTCCCACCCCTTGACAAGCCTAGGAAATTCTGCTGGAAGAGGCATACAACTTCTGGCTTTGCGACTCACTATAAAATTCTTCTGGGTCTTCTGTACCCCAGCATATCACACAAAGTGCACAGAGAAAATAACTACACAGCATATAAACTATCTCCAAATCCAGACACGTCAATGTGTAACAAATTCCCCTTCCCCTGCAATATACATCTGTGCTAGGTTGCCTGTCCTCAAATGACTCTTCCCCTTCAGTGACACTCTTTATTCATTTTTCACAGATCATTTTGCCATATGTTGGATGTTACTGAGCGAAATTCCTTGCTCCTGACAACTGGAAGAAGTACAAATTCCAATTACAGATTAAAACAAAACAAAACAAAACATAAAAAACCCCACAGGAGAAAGTCAAGACTTTTCTCTCAAGGTATAGGATTCTATCTTGAAATTTGGATATTCTGAATACTCAGAAAGCAGAACAACAATCTATTTTAAAAAAGTAAACTGTTATACTTCTCTTTCAGTGATGTGCATTCTGGAATTTAGCCCTGGCATTTCTTCTGAAGAAGACATATGTGACTGTTCCTACATGTGTGTGCCTACCAGCTTCCCCAGCATGCCAACCCCACTGTCAAAACTCCAGAATAGAGATAGGTCCCACAGCTCCTCACCGCCTCCCACCCCTGTGAGGCTGGCATGTAGAAACAGAAGCTGGTCCTGATTCTGCTTCCACTGTAACAGGAGTTTGTCTCTTCCCATCAACCTACAGAGGAGCGTTTTCTGTAAAGCCTCATGTGAATCCATGCTGGGGAACTTCAGCTCTGCATGGGACCGCTGCTTTCAAAGGTTCTGTGAGGGCACTAAAGAGCACCACTGCCAGGTCAGTGCTTTAGAAATCAGGTGGGATTTTCTGGGCCCTGTTCTTTCGGTGCTTCCTGTGCTACTGCCTAATTGAGGCAAAAGGAGGGAGCTGCACTCCAGACGCAGTGGTGGTGGTGAAGATCTGCTCGGCCACGCATCTGGCGCACTCCAGCGTCAATAGCAGCGTTCACCTCCCCCTCCGCACTGGAACAGGGCTCAGACGATTTACCGAGAGCCCACGTCTCCCCGCGCCCAGTTACAAATGTAGGGATCTTCTTGATTCTAGGAAGGGGAAATACTGATAGCCCAGATTAAGGCAGAGGGGGCTTGGTTCTTGTACCTGCTCACGCCCTGCCCCGGCCGCAGCGGCACAGACCTCGCAGAACTCCCGCACCTCGAACCATCCCGACGACTTCAGGGCAGCGCTGGAAACCTCGTCACACCTCCCGACGTCCTGTGCAGAGGGGCAGCCCCCGGCACGCCCTCCCGAACTTTCCACCGCACCCTCTCAACCTTCCCACCGCGCCTCCTGCCGCCCCTCCTGACAGCCCCTGGACTCGACACCGCAGCGCTCCCTCCCCTCCCGTTCCGTCCCGTCTCGTCCCGCATCACCCGCGTCGCGTCCCGCTGCAGCCCCGGCCTCCCCGCGCCCTCGGCTCCAGCATCCTCCGCCCGGACGGCCCACAGTTGTACTCACCCGCCTGGTACCCCGGTCGCTGTGCTGTTGGGTTGGAGGCTGTTTTGTTGCGGATCTTTGCTGGAGTTTGCTTCGGTTTGCGAGGTTGTTTCTTTTTTAAAAAAATTTACTTTCAGTTTGAGCCTCTGCTCGGGGCGCGCTGGGAAGCGGAGGCGGCTGCTGGAGAGCGCTGCGCGGGGCCCCGCGGAGGGCGGTGCGGATCCGTGCCTTCCCCGCCCTCCGCCTTCCTTCTCCCCATCAGTGAGCACCTCCCCCCCGCCCCCCAGAAGGAATTTGGCTTTTCTCGGAGTCCCGTAGGCTCCAAAAGGACCCTGCGCGCCTCTGCTCCGCGCCCGTCCTGTGCGCTCCTCACACCGTCCTGTGCTGCAGCCATACCCCTCCGCGGTGGAAAAAGAAAGGAAAATCTGCTCCTGCCGGTTTCCATAGCTGTTTCCAAGCACACCTGCGCTTTTTGTGGCTGGGTTCTTCTTTGTTGTTTTGTTTTTATATATATATGTATATAAAACAAATATACATATATATTTGTTTTTACAAGACTGCCGTTATTTTTGCAGAAGCTCCCTTCAAGAGGACTTGGCTCCCACTGCACCAAGCCAGAGTGCTGTCGGAAAAACAAACGCATCGTGGAAGTTAGGAAACGTTTAAGTGCCTGCTGGCCAGACCAGTCACACAGAGAGAGAACAGCACGGTCTCTGTCCCTCGGGGTCAATGCTGAGGCACACATTCTGAGTTGCACAAACACAGCTGCACCTGTGACAAGCTTGTGCTGCCATCCATCCAGGGCATCCCTGCATGCTGTGCATGGCCACCAGCACCCAACCGGCTGCTAGCCTGCTGCCTACCTTAATCGAGCCTCTCTCTCTCTCTCTCTATTTAAGTTTTTGGCATTTGATATTTAAAGTAAGAGGTACCTGCTCAAAAATGCTGGTTGTCTAGGCTCAGGGCAGAGGCCATGTTTATGTATCCTATGCATACCTACAACCATACATGTGTGTATAATGTGGATCTACCTGACCTGTTTGTTGTCATACGCAAACATATTTGATGCTTCAAGCACTGAAGGAGAAAGTGTACAAGGATGTGAACACAACAGCGTAAGAGGCTGGCGGTCCTCAGCACAAGATCTGGAGCTGTTGGAGCAGGCCCCGAGGAGGCCATGAAGATGCTGAGATGGCTTTAGCATCTCTCCTATGAAAAATGGCTAATGGAGCTGGCCTGGTTCAGCCTGGAGAAGAGAAGGCTGTGAGGAGACCTCACTGAGGCCTGTCAGTACCTAAAGAGAGCTTATAAGCTGGAAGGAGAGAAACATTCTACATGGTCTGACAGTGATAGGACAAGAAGGAATGGCTTTAAACTAAATGAGGGGAGATTTGTTAGGCATCAGGAAGAATATTTTACTCAGAGGGAGGTGAGATATTGCTGGCATGGGCTGCCCAGAGAAGTTGCGTGTTCCCCATTCCCGGAAGTGCTCAGGGTCAGGTTGGATGGGTCCCTGCACAGCCTCATCTGGTGGGTGGCAGTGCTGCTCATGGCAGGGGGTTGGGACTGGGTGGGCTTTAAGGGCACTGACAACCCAAGCCATTCCATTCTTCTATGATTCATTCACTCCTCCTTTCCCCCGGGAGTAAAATCAGAGGGCCTGATGACATCTGGGCAAGGAGAGGTAGCACAGCCCAGGCATGAAGGGCCAGGGAGCTGCAGGAGGGAGATTACTAGGAGAGCAGAGGGTGGAAAGATCCTAGAGGAGGCAGAGGGAAAGCCTGGCATACCACAATTGAAATGCATGTGGGATATAACTTACTTATACTAATACCGAGCACACAATGCATCTCCTTACTTAATGGAGAAGTTGTGTCTGTCATGTTCCAGAAAGGTTGACGAGGTACCCAGATGACCAACAGCAGCCCACCCAGCTACACAAGTGATGTTGGCCATGTAGATCTTGCCTCTTTTCCTTCCCACCCTCATCCCATCTGAGCACTGAGCTTGAAAGAGCACTTTGGAGCAGAGCCCGCTTCTTGCATGCACTGCAGCACACAGTTCTGACTTCCCTTAGGGCTATCAGGTCCTCCTAAGACAAAAAATAACAGGTCACTGCAATGTCATGAGCAGTCCATAAACTAAACTGAGCTGCTGGGGCTGGATCAGAAGCCTGTTACAGTAAACAGAAGGGTTTGATTTGATCCCACAATAACTTGATCTGATCCATCATTTTAAAACACAGTTATACTGAAGGCTTTCACACTCCCTCATCTTGCATACTCCTAAATTGCTCTCATTAAGGCACAACTTCTCTGTAATCCATTTCAGCCTCCAGGCAGGAGACTTGTTACTGCCTTCAGTTACTGTCCATCCTATCCTTAGAAGTGGTGCACAAACTCCAGCAGTCCACAACTCAGTCTGAAAGGACAGAAGATGGTCCAGAGGACAATGAGGTGGTCATCACATGCTGCCAGCCCAGCACCTGAATCAGCAAAATCTCGCACCAGTTTCATCCCCTGGCTGGCAGCTGAGAAATTCACTCTTGGTTCTTGTCCTGACACGCCGCCTCGAGGCAACAAGCACCTCTTGCAAGATCTCTCTTGTAACCTACCTTAAACAGACCGAGAAGGCCAGGCCAGCGTAAACCACGGCAGGGACAGGGGCAGGGGCAGGGATAGGGGCAGGGGCAGGGGCAGGTGCAGGGGCAGGGGCAGGGATAGGGGCAGGGATAGGGGCAGGGGCAGGGGCAGGGGCAGGGGCAGGTGCAGGGGCAGGGGCAGGGATAGGGGCAGGGATAGGGGCAGGGGCAGGGGCAGGGGCAGGGGCAGGTGCAGGGGCAGGGGCAGGGGTAGGGATAGGGGCAGGGGCAAGTGCAGGGGCAGGGGCAGGGATAAGGGCAGGGATAGGGGCAGGGGCAGGGACAGGGATAAGGGCAGGGATAGGGGCAGGGACAGGAGCAGGGGCAGGGGTAGGGGCAGGGGCAGGGGCAGGTCATCCAGTGCTCATTCTGGAGGAAGCTTGGACGAAAAACAAATGGTTGCTCAGAAAGCAGAGTTAATATACAAGAATTCCTAACATCAGTAACTCAAGCACCCTGTGTCCATGCAGAGAGCAGAGCCTTTCTTATAGCCACCCCTGAGATACCCAAAGGCCACTCTCGGTTCTCTCCTGGAGCTTTCTCTCCTCAGCCAGTTCTCAGAGGGGAGGTGTTCCATCCTTGGATTGTTTCTGCAGTCCTCCTCTGGACATACTCCAAGAGGTCCATGTCCTTCTCGGGCAGAAGACTTCACATCTGCATGCAGTACTCCAAGTGAGGCCTCACCAGCACAGAGCAGAGGGGCAGGATCACTTCTCTCACCGTGCTTGCCACACTGCTTTTGATGCAGCCCAGGATACAGTTGGCTTTCTGGGCTGCAAGGACGTGTTGCTGGTACACATCTTGTCACACATGTTGTTCCCTCTGGGGAGAGTGGAGGGGACCCAGGAGGCCCGGAGCAAACTCTAAAATACCAGAAACAGAAAGGCACTTACTGGTTTTGCTTTAGGAAAGAACTTTAGGTTTTTATTATTATCACTATTCTGTGTTGTTCTTTTCAATGGTTTGTTGTCCAGTTTTTTGTACAAAAGTCCTCAGGGAGCACCTGGAAGGAGCTTCGTGCTGAATGCCCTCCCTTCTTCCCACCCAAACCAAAGTCTTCCACTTCTCCAATGGAAAGCTATCTTGTCTGGTGCTGCCTGGAAGTCGCAGGGAGCTTGGGGCTGTCTGCTGCATTCCTCCTGGTCCCAACGCAGCCGCTGAGACGACACCAGTCCCAGTCCTGCTCTCTTCCTCAGGACTTGCCTGGAGGCCACAGGGAGCTCAGGGCCGTCCGCTGGATGCCTCCCATTGTCCCGGTGCAGAAGCATAGAGAACAGCAGTCCCAGTGCCTCCTTTTGCCTCAGGGCTCAGGAAGGAAGAGGTGAGAGGTCTTGGGGAAGGATGAGGATGAGGGACAGGGAAGAAGGGGTGACAGAGAGCAGCAGCTGGCCCAGGGGCTCTGGCGGATGGTGACTCTTCAACGCCGAGATGGAAACTGAGAGCCCCTGCTGCACTGCCAATGGATGTAGTGACATCTCCAGTCAAGCATGAAGTTCTATTGCTTGCCCGGGCCTGATGAAGGTGGATCCACCTCCATAGGTTCAACATCGCTCTCCAGAGGATCTACATCCATTGGCTCTGGCTCGCTGCTGCTCTCGAGAAGTCGAGGCTTCTTTGTTGGAGGAGGATACATCCTCCTCCACAAGTGCTCCCACAGTGTGAGAGAAGGCTCCCTCTGTAGCTCCTGCTCACAGATAGGTGCTTCCATGACAAGAGTTGGTCAGCAACTGGGGTACTAGGGTCCCCATATCTATAGCAGTCAGCAGGGAGGTGGCTTGTAATATCGCATGGCCACAGTGTTGTGACCATAAGAGTGTCTTGTGACAAGCAAAACATGGCTGTGTTGAGCGAAGGCAGGCTATGGCCTGAGGGTTGCCCTACTTGCCCCCAGTGAGGTTCTACAGGCTCCATTTTAGGGCCCTTTCTCTTCTGTGTTTTCACTGTTGATTCCAATAAAGATCTGGAAGTAAATTTGTGGATGATGCTAAAGTGGGAGGAGCGTTGGCTCTCTTGAGGGTAGAAAGACCTTGCAGCAAGATCGGGACAAATTTGAGGGTGAGCACCATCTGTGTGAAGAAGAGCAAGTGCTGGGCTGTGCAGTTGGGATGGGGCAGCCCTGCCTCTGTGTACAGTGTGGGGGGCGAGGGGTTGGAGAACAGCCCTGCAGAAAGGGATCAGGGCGTTCTGGTTCTGGCACAAGTAGTGCCTTCCCTGCCTTTCGCCTCTTGCTATTCAGTTTACCGCGTACATAGCGAACATAGGCGGCCCTACCACCCCGCAGCGCCAGGCGGCGCTCTTCTGTTGCCGTCGCCGCTCTGCCCTCTGCTCTCTCCCCACTTCCGCCAGGCCCCGGAAGCGGCAGATGCACGGCGCGATGGCGTCGGAGGGAATGGCGCCGGCAGAGCTGCAAGCGGAGGGTGGTACTGACGTGGAGCCGGAAAGCGGCTTTGGGCAGCTGCTGGAAGAAGAAGAGGAGGATGGAGGTTACGTGCTGTACAGGTACGGCCGCGGCAGCGGAGCATCCGAGCGGTTGGGCCATGTCTTCCCCGGTACGGGCGTGAGGAGGCGCGGGGGTGGGGGAGGTACGCTGAGGGGGAGGAGGAGGACGAGGAGGA